CAACCCTCAGTGTTGCGCCCGTACTGGACCGGGACCGGCAACGGAATCGCAACCCTCGGCGCCCGCCCGCACCTCGCTCAGCCAGTGAGCGGGAACTAGTCTGTATGTGGAATCCGAACCCTCGGCGGGAGCGCCGCCGTGCTCCCAAGTGGCACACTGTAGCAGTGCGCCACCAGGCCAGCCCTCAAACCAATTTTATAGATAAAGAAGCAGAGACTCGGAAATTTATGTGGCTCACTGGAAGTCACACTGCTTGTACCTGGCAGCTCCATTGGCCTCCAGGGTCCTTGTTTATGTTCTGTGTATGATAGTTTTAAATGGATATGTAGACAACAAGAGTTACATTAATGTAGAAGGAAGTAGATAAATGTGAAGTGAACAGGAAAAATTTCCTGAATTTAGATAGATCAAGGAGTGAAGAGTGGTATTTTAAGTGGAAGAAAAAACATATCTGAAAAGAGCATATTTGAAGGGCAGTGAAGAGATTAGCCTACCTCAAAGAATATTTTTTTCCTCTTTAAGCTTCTTCATAAGAAACCATCTTTTTATACCTTCTTCTCTTTCTAAATTCTAGCTATAGAGCTAGTCTACTTTGCATGTAAGACTATGATAGCATTTGTTTCAAAACATTCCTATATAGAAGAATTCTCTTAACTGTTTCTTATTTTATATGGTCTAATAGTTTTTCCTCTGCCCAGTTATTCTTAGCAGATTTAGATTTATTCAGCAAACGTTTATGGAGCACTGGCTATATGCCAGGCCCTTTTTTAGCAGTAAACACAATAGTTAAAAATCTGTCCAATGGTGTGTACATTCTGGTAGACTGGCTAAAGATACCTTGAGCATTGTCATGGCTATTTCTCACCACCTGTTTTCTTTTATGATAGGTGTTTTCCTTACTCATACAACCAGTTTCTAATTTAGACGTGGCTGTCATGCCTGTGTTATTACATAATGCCACATTTCTCAATCAAAACTAGTCCCTGTTAAGCAACTCCAAATATTCCAAAAGCATTTCTAAGGAAGAACAAACAAATTCAGATTGCAAAATGTTTTTCAAAAATTTAAAGAAGTGAAAGGTTTGATCAGAGTTTATTTATATTAGACTGAGAGGTTGTTTTTTTATTAAAATATACCCTCTATTTTAATCTGATTTAGCTTGTATCTATCTGGCTATTTGTCTAAGTGCTCAATTAACAATTATGACAAGATAACATCACAAATGTCCTGGGCAGGGGTGGGGGTGCTTTTGCAGAAAATGCAAAAAAGCTTAATTTAGTAGATATTGGTGGTCTTTTAGCATCTGTTATTGTATTTTAGTTACAAGTTTTCTATGTCTGTTGAAATATAATTTCTGTGGAGAATCTTAGAAATTTTAGCAGTCATCATTGAAGTATAGCTTAATACTTGGTATCTGGTTAATTGAATCTTCTGGTTATCTGAGTCTTATCTTACATGGATTATCATTTTTCAAAATATGAGAGAATGTGATTTAGACCATTAAAAGAGTAGGAAGATGATGATAATTATTAGAAAAATATCAGCTAATATTTATCAAGTGTTTACTATATGCAGGCATTTTGCTCACTTTCTAGGCAATCTCATGTACCTATAATCTTATGATGTAGTTATTGTTATTATCCCCATTTTGGAGATGAAGGAACTGAGTCTTAGAGAGGTTAAATGACTTGACCTACATTACATGGCTGGTGCAACTGATATTTGAACCAAAGAGTCTGAGGCCAGAGCCTGTGCTCTTAACCACCTCACTATACAGCCTTAAGCATTTGAACGTAATTTGGTCTGATAATTTTAAAATGTGTTGTATATTTTACAGTGATTCAGGATCATGATTTAATCAGTGTATGCAACCTTACCCTTAAAATAAAAGTGATCATTTAAGCTTCATGGTCGGTTGTTATAGTGCCACTCATTTTGGTAATTTTTATGCCTTAATACTTTTGATAAAATACTTCCATGGACTAATTATTGTTTCCCTTTTTCCTCTTTGACAGCATTGGATTCAAAAGCTAACAATTTGTCCAGTCTGTCCAAGAAATACCGCCAGGATGCGAAGTACCTGAACATGCGTTCTACTTACGCCAAACTTGCAGCAGTAGCTGTATTTTTCATTATGTTAATAGTGTATGTGCGATTCTGGTGGCTGTGAAGTAGCAAACCCAGTCACTGGAAAGGGAGAATCTAGAACCCACCAGGTGTATGTTTTCAGGAAGCTGAGTTCACAGAGATGTGTATTAGAATCCAAGTTGAACTTCTGCCTCTAAAGACTTTGCAAGAAAAGACGTCCTGAAAATGAAAGTTTACACCTCATTTAATGAAGCTTAACCCTATGTAGAAGGTCTCTTTTGGGGGTGGAGGCTTTCTCTGGGTGCTAAGCCATATACATTAGGGAACAGTAGATTGTTTTATTTTTTCCCTCCCAGTACATTTTTAAAACCACATTAACTGGGGCATTCTCATTCTCTAATGGAGCCATCAGTGAGATTTAGCTTAGCCAACCTGTGCTAGCAGTATTTTGAAATTCCTTCAGAGAAGGCATTCTTTGGGAAGCTTTTTGACTCTAATCAACATTCCTTTTGTTGGTGACATTTGTGATTTTTAGTAATCTGAGTTTTTGATGGCCTTTGAACAAGACTCCAGTATGTGAAGGTTAATTGCTATGCTGCACAGATCCTGTCTATTGGCCCCTGTAGGAAGTTAACCTTTGTTGTTTTATTTTTATGATATTTTGCTTATTGCACAATTGCTTTAGGGTTAAATGAATTATATTAAGATGCCTTGAAATTATATTATAGCACTCCTTGATTAAGAAGCTAAAATGTTTTCTCTCATTTATTTCTTAAACAAAGACTTACATTTGTTTGGGACATTATTAATGTTATTTTGCAGCATCTGGTTTATATTAATGTAAGAGCGAGTATAGCATATGGATAGCCAGAGGCTCATGGCTTAATGAGAAGAAAGGCCCAGCTCATAACTACAGCTTTGTCCTGTCCCTTCCTCATTTTTACCACTTTTACAGTTTTCCCCACTCTTTGTTTTCCTCCTGTCATAATTTGCTTAAATTTTAAAAATTCCCCTGTGCCCAGTAGTTTCATGTCCCATAAACGTCCTCTTAGGATATTCTCAAATTTCAAAATGGAACATGTTTAGCTAAAGTTTTTGCAGATCAGCTACTCAAACTACTAAATACATTTATCTGAGAAAGTCTTTGAGAGCACCTCATTCCTATTTCAGCTTATGTAAATTCTCTGAGTAAGTTCTAGAGATAGGTAACTCATTTACTGTGGCTTCTGTTAACTAATAAAAGTACCTATGAGTTTTTCCTTTTTGCTCAGGGATGATAGGCATTTCCTTTTACCTTCCGAAGTGGAAGTTTTTCAATATGGAGAGTAGGGCTTTTAAATATTATCTCAAGGGTCTACAATGTAACCTATAACTTCTGCATATACTGCAAATATTTCTGTAAGTTGTACAGAAAAAATGAGCCAACTTCTTATTTCTTACATCTTCGGAAAGAACTTTAACCAGTAAGCAATTTTATAACCCTAAGGGATCATCACAGCTACTGTCCTGATTCCTGGTAGAGAAAAAAAGCCCTTATTTCCTATGACAAGGCAAGGAGAAATGCTTATTTTATTTCTGATAATTTACAGAACTAGAGTAAATTCTTTTCTTTCTATTATGGACCTAGATCTGCCAATTGGAGTTTTGTGCATGAAATATGAAGTTGCTTTTTATAGAGACTGAGTGCTTTTAAGTACCTTGTCTTAAAGGCTTGTCTCTAAGTAGTAATGTTAGTAAGAAAAGCCTTTGAGAGGCTGAAAACCTAAGTAATGGTACCATAGCATTTGGTGCTTCTATAGGAGTGGAGAGTGGCAGCTCACTGTTGAGAGTTGCATGCTAATGGTCAGCAGTGAAATAAATAATTCTAGAATGTTCCCTTCAGTGTGAAGTTTTGTACACATATCCTTTCTAGGCACATTTTTAACTAATCTCAGTGAGCTAATTAGGAAAGAAGGGGTGGGGTATATGATGAGCAGAAAAACAAGAAAGTAGTTTAATGAGAGAATAAGACAGTCATAACACAGCTTCTACTTCTGTTCTTTATAGGAGGTAGGAGGAAGATATGACTAGATGGAATGTATCAGCAACCAAACAAGCATCTAAAATAGAATGAGATAAATACTGGATGGGGTATTTTGGAGGCACATTAAGAAAGGATATCTAATTTATTTGGGGAAAGGAGTATGGTAAAAGAAGACTGTCCAGAGAAGAAGGTGAATGGGGCATTCTAGGTAGAGTCAATGGCTTGTGCAAAGGCATGAGTAAAGAGAATGAGGCACATTTTGGAATGTAACAGCTTGATTCAGCTTAACCCATAGGGTAAGCATAAGCATAACTGAGGAGATGTGAGGAAGGAGAATTAGACTGGCACACTTTCATATAGGGACTTGTCTACCATGCTGAAGAGTTCGGACTATATTAACAGCTGTAACAGCTTGATTCAGCTTAACCCATAGGGTAAGCATAAGCATAACTGAGGAGATGTGAGGAAGGAGAATTAGATTGGCACACTTTCATATAGGGACTTGTCTACCATGCTGAAGAGTTCGGACTATATTAACAGCTATGGCAAGGATGGATTCAGATTTATAGTGCTGAAGATGTATTAGAGATAAGCCTGGAAGTAGGGAGATCATCAAAGGCAGAATGAAACACAGGCAGGTTTCAATTGATTTTCAAGAAAGGAGTGATCTAGAATAGAGGTACCAGATAATAACTATTACATAATACTTTTTGTTAGGAGCTTATTTAATTCTCACATTGATGAGAACTTTTGAAGTAAGTACTGATTTGCACCATTACATGAATAAAAAACTGCAAAGGATACCACTCTGAGGCAGTTAAGTTACAGAACTAGAGTAAATTCTAAGTAGTAATATTAGCAAGAAAACCTTTGAGAGGCTGAAGACCTAAGTAGTGGTACCATAGCATTTGGTGCTTCTGTAGGAGTGGAGAGTGGCAGCTCATTGTTGAGAGTTGCATGCTAATGGTAAGCAATGAAATAAATCTAGAATGTTGCAGAATTAGAAAGTGATGGAGCTAAACCTAGGCAGTTTGACTCCAGAGTCTGTGCTTTTAACCACTATACTATACCACCAAGAGGTCAAATAAAATAAGTACCCAAAAAACATATTTTGAATCTAACAACCAGGAACTTAATTGTATGGGCAGAAGTAATTTCAGAGAACTGGGGACAGAAGCCAGATTGCAATGGGTTGAGGATTGTGTGAACCACTAGGAAGTGAAGACATAGAAATACTCTCACAAGTAACTTTTCTGGTTATTGTGACACTAAACTTCAAGTCTTATTTTAATTAAAATATCTCACAAATGACAAAATTTAGAAATATTTGGAACACCGTATACACATCTGGTTATCTAAATGTGGTTCTGAAGCACTTTGAGAAACCTTTGAAAATCTGATGAAAGTTATGTGCCTTTAACTTCAGAAAAATGTTCATGTGTACATACACAGCAAATATTGCATATTCAGGGACCACATGAACCAGCCTATTCATGACATAGTAGTCCATGATCCCTCAATTAAGAACTCCAGATATATAAGATGTGGAATTTGAAGGTAAGTACCTAGAAGCCTTGAAGACTGTTCTGCTGTGGTGAATTGGAAGAAATCTACAGTTTGAATTAACTTTGTGAATGAGATGTATTCTTGAAAAAATGTGTGTACAAAAAAATTTATGTAAAGTAATATTTTCCTGTACTGCATTCAGGGATCTGGTTCTACAGAAAGAAAATTTTTTTGGTGCCAGTTCCTCAAAATCACATTTAAGGATCTTGAAATTTATGTTTTCTGCTTTTGTCAGTAAGAAGTCTTCTTACAAAAGCGAATTAAGAAGGAAGATGGATAATCATTTCTGCACACACAGGACTTAATAAAACATGTACAATTAAACATCTCATATTTTAGATTTCCACCTTATTGGGAGTTTTTATGACTAATGGCTTGAATGTTGGTGGCCACACAATTAAGGCTTCTCGTTAGTATATTTAGCAGAACTGGCTGAGCCCCACGTGGTGGGTTTTTTTTCCCCCCACAGAGCTCAGCAGGAAGGCAAATAGTGTTACTACTACAATTGCATATTAACTGATTGGACCAAATAGCTTGTACTGTAAAGATCCCCAAAGAAAAATTTACAGCATGTGTGACATAGTTTGAAATAGAATGAGCAAATTAAATCTCACATCCTGTTCTTATTCATTACTGTCACGCCAGGTTGACCCAACAGTATAAAACTAACTCAAGCAATTTAGTCACTCAGTTAAAGATTATCTCAAGTTGCATGAGAATTCAATTTCTAATTTCTAATGACAATCTAAAACATCATGTTTTAGATTGTCATTAGAAATTAGAAATTGAATTGACTTCCATGTAGTAATCTGTACTGGACTAGTTATTTTCTCTCATAATCTTCATTTATTGATCATTAAGTATTAGGCATTTTACATGTATTATTACATTCCTTATAGCCATTTTCTGTGCTTGCCCAAGGTCACCTAGCTAGCAAGTTGAAGTACTTAGATTCAAATTCAGGGCTGCTAGACATCTAATCACTACACTATACTGTCTACTACTCTTAAATAGTGATGTAGACCTGTTTCTCTTAAGCATGTTTACTTTGTCTTGTCAAGTTATTAGTATGCTTATTTTGAAAAGGTATGTGTTTTTTACAATTTCATTTTATTACTCCAGTTCCTTTTTTATTTACTTACTTGTCATTTCCCCCTTTATTCTTTTTAAATAGTTTTTGCTCTTGTGATCTTGTTTGCCCTTTTTCTCCCTTGGTTTGTAATACATCTTTCCTTATTTTATTTGCTCCTTTACTTTTTCATTTGGTCTCAATGTTAATTCAACAGTTTTCTACATCTGATTCACTGTGAGATTAGCAAAGTGGTTTTTTTAAGCTCTTTTTTCCTTTTAACTGTTTATCCATTCTCTCCTCATTGTCCCTTACTTCTTTCATCCTTTTCCATTTTACTTTTTTTCATTTCCCTGGATGCTGTTTTTACGTGCAAGTTAATATAATGCTGTAACTTTGCTTCTGTAAGTGAGTGCTTCAAAATCAACTGTCTTAAATTTACTTATTTCTAGGCCTTATTTAATCTTCCCTTTTATCGATTTTATAATATGCTGTGTTCTCATTTTATTCAGCACATAGTAGTCAATGAAAAGATGCCTCTGCTTTAAGGAATCCCTTTATAAAATATTTCAGACATTGCAAGAATTCTTCAAGAAGTAAGCTCCTCTAGTTTGCCTTCTACATTTAGGGCTTTAACTACTACCTGTATTATTGGTGTTACTGGTACCTTCCAGATATACCGGTTTATCTTCAAACTTGAGTTCCAGACCCCAATTTTTTGCTTCTTATTCTTCTACATTTAGGGCTTTAACTACTACCTGTATTATTGGTGTTACTGGTAACTTCCAGATATACCGGTTTATCTTCAAACTTGAGTTCCAGACCCCAATTTTTTGCTTCTTATTGGATATGTTTTTGAACATCCCATAGATACTTTATTGCATGTAAAACATTACCTCCGCTCTATTTCTCTCAAAGATAAAACCTAACCTGTGCTTCCTACTATATTTCCAATGTTTTGGCAACACCTGCCACCCCTTTACCTGAAATACAAATCATGAATTGCATTTGACTCCTTTGTTTTCTCCTTCCGCCTCTAACTCAACTGTTAACCAAAATCTGTTTTTTTACCATCTTCAAAATATTTCTCATCCATTGCTTCCTTTCCATGCTTACCTTGGGTTCAAGCATTAATTTAACACGGATTGTTTCAGTAGCCTCCCTAGTGCTTTCCTTACACATGTCCCTCTTTCATCCCAGTACCATGATAATACCAGAAATTTTCTAAAAGAGCTAATCATGCCACATTACCTATACATGAAAGATCACGTACTCTAGTCCACCATACACAAGCTGGCCCCATTGTATCATTCCAGACTCATCTCCTGCCACTCCCACCATCTGTATTTTGTTTCAGCCACATTAAGTAATCTAGGCTTCTCTAGCCAGTCAAGCACTTTACCTTGTGCCTTGGCTCATTCTATGCCTTCTCTCCATAATCATTTTGTGTGCCTTACTCCCATCCTTTTCCATTTAAACCTGCTAAAGTTCTGCTCATCTTTTAGAGACCCAACTCAAACATCTTTGTAAAGCCTTTCTATAATTGTCACATTCTCCTTCCCACTAACCTGGGAGAAATTATTGTTTCATTCTCCCACACAATTTGTTCATATTTGTAGCTTAGAACCTACCAATTTAAAATGGCAGTCGGTGTGTTCTTGTTTATCTCCATGGCCTTGTGAGGTCCTGAGGTAGAGACGAATTGTTACTCATATGTCTGAATCCTTGGCACTCGGTACAGTGGCTGACACATTGAAGGTACTTGGCAAATATTTGCAGGATGAGTACATTGAATTAAAAAAATGTATGCACAAGCACACATTTTTTGGAACTGAGCTGTTTCATAAGTCATAGATATACAATTTGAATGAAAAGAGAAAACAGAGCTGTGTGAAATGGTGTAAACCTAGTAAAGGAAGGGAAAGGAAAGAGGCTTTAAAAAGAAGTCAGAACAAAAGACAGGACCAAAAAGTTATCAATACATAGTGAACATGTTGGAAAAAAGGAAGAAAATATATCAAATGAAATTGTTTCTTTGGGGAAGAAACAATTGAAAGGGGGGCTAAGGATGAGAGGAAATTAAGGCATGGAGACAAATTAGACTTGGTGAGAAAGCACAAAAGTCAGACCTGCCGATCTTAGTCTGGAAATGTTTCCAGCTGACCATGATGCCTCTGGTTGCTTTTATGTTGTATAGATAATATTTAATGAGCTCATCATATCAGTTAACTGCTTACCAATTTTTTATCTGAAAAAATGCTTCCAGTTCAGTGATAAATGCCTTGACCAATATGCTATTTAAGGTAAGAAATATTTTACCATTTTAAAGTTAAGAAACTGGTTTCAGGCTTAGTTTTGACCAGCTGATGGCAGTTTGTACCTGCTAAATTTCTCCCAGTTATTCCCTTGTAGGTTGTGTAGGTAGGCAGTGAGGTTTGCTGGACTGGGCATGCAGGAACAGGCAGTAAGATCAACATGAAGACTGAAGATCTTATCTCTTTGTATGCCTTTTGTTTAGCCATTTGCATTAATATGCAGAGTGTTTATTTGCACACTTAGAACTTTAGAATAAAAGTACTTTGACTTTCAAATTGGCTTTTCTTGATTTTTTTTTTTTTTTTTTTTTTTTTCTTTACACTCCACTTTTTTTCCCATCTTTCTCAATTTTCCCCAGTAGCAGAGTTAGGACTTAATATTACAAAACTTCACTTGCTAAAGATTCTTTAAAAGTAAATAAATAAATAAATAAAGAGCTTTGAAGCAAAAGTTTAAGAATTTCTGCTATAGCCTATTCACTTGCTTGTGGGATTTATTTACATATATTTGTTTTTTCTACAATAAGAGTATAGCCCTTGCTAGAATCATATATAATAAAGCAGCATGTTTATTTTTATCAATTAGTTGAACACTACAGTGTGAAGTGGACATTGCTGAAGAGGGATAGAGATTTATATGAAACTGCAACGAGAAAATTACATCGCATGCAGCAGGTGAATGGGTAGAAAGCATAGAACTGGAGACGACTTCTAGGCTTAGCTCTCTAGCAATAGACTTTAGGTAAGTTTCTTAGGCACTATGTGCCTCATTTTCTCCATGTGAAAAATGGGAATGATATTTGCCTTGTCTACTTCATGTGGGCTATTTGAGGATAAAAGAAGTTAAAAATGCAAAAATGGTTGTGAGGGTTTTATAAACCTTGAAGTGACATATAAGTAGACCATACTCCATCACTACTATTATTACTATTACAACTATTCAAGAAAAGAATCTGTGCAGTCCTGCCTGTTCCTCTGGAAACTAACACCAGTTCCATAATTATTGTATTCTTGATGGGGCAATATCCCTGGTCTGGATACACTGCGATATTTAGTATACTTTAGCCCAGTCCATTTCTCAGGCCATGACTTAATGTTCCCAGAAGAGGGCAGCAAATCTCTAATCCAAAGGCCCTCTGCCCCTTCCTCAATTAAAGTATCTAAAGTAGTTTTTCCTTGAGAGGAAAGCAACTATAATGTAAAGACAATAGCCTTTAAAAAATGATGGTATTTAGGTGACAGATAATGATAATCTCATTATAATAAATAGCATAACAAACATTCACTCATTTTAAATAATATTTTTCTGTGTCCTCTGAAGAAAATAACTGACTTTTTCTTTAATCTCATTTTAATGATTTGACCCGTATAACCAGAAATCCCTAGCCATGTTTTTTCATTTAACCGCAGATTTTTAGATCTCACTTAGCACCAGTTTTTAAATAGATTATTATTAGTATTATTATTTTGTAAAAGGAAAGTAAGTTGTTCAGGCTTGATTCTTTCAATTTAAGATGCCTACCTAAGTCCAAAGAATGTATCTCTGTCATAGAGTATGTCTGCATTATTCATGGCAAATGTTATCTACATCTAATCTTTCTCATTCTTTCATTCAAATTTGTTTTACAATATTCTTGTGTTTTTGTATCTTTAATCAGTGAATTATCTTGTAATAACATTAGCTGTTAACATTTGAGCTGTTCTTAACAGCATATAAGGTGCTTGAAGTCCAAAAAATGAGTCCCAACAGTGTTTAAATATGCCTCTGTAACAGTGTTTCTGCATCAGTTGGAGAAAACGTCATCTATATCTGATTTTTCTCATTCTTTCACTATTCAGATTTGTTTTACAGTATCTCTGTGTTTTTATATCTTTAGTCAGTGAATTATTTTGTAATAATGCCAGCAGCTAATGTTCAAACTGTTCTTAATAACATACAAGCTGCTT